CGGCCTCATTATTTCAGGCACAGTATGATCAGACCGTTTAAAAAAAGTTGGCCCCGAGATATTCGTAGACAGCATGATTAGTACTTGTACCTAACTAATTCAAAAACAACCCTTACCTCTAACCCTTACTTTTTTTTTTCCAGTTTTCTGTGCACCTGGTTGTATGCGCACTCCGCTGGCGTGTCTACCCAGCGGTAGGGCACGATCAATCACGGCCATCGTAGCCGATCGCCATCCACGATGACGAACCCGTTTGAAGTTCCTCCTCCGAAGTTGTCTCTGATACAGCTCTGCGATAGCATGTGGAGGTCATGGGTGCTTCCTTGCCACTTGGCGACCACCTCACGATCTGAGAGCATATGCCGACCACCAAGAGGACTACCTACTTGTCCGGCGTTGGTTCCGAGGAGCTTCGCTGCTGGTGACCACCTGAAGTGGAGAAATATGTCTGGGATTCGTTCATGACAGACAATAAAAATTCTAGCGCAGTTTCGATTCAAATATATATAGCCACGCCATAACAATTCCTAGCGAAGGTTCATAAACACTGCTATAACGTATCAAGCTACTCGCTATCTTCCAAAATGTTTTGGAACATGACGTCCGTCGGGAGTTGACGCTGACATTTTGAGAAACTGTTTGCTTTTCCGACTGTTTTTAAACACAAAACACATCATTTTACAAAGAAAGGATTGCCTCGGAACTGTACCTCGGCAAACTCCGTGTTCCTCGGGTTGAAAATCGTCTGAACAATAAGACTACGTACTACGTCTTGCTTTCCGTTCCTTCTTGAATGGATGGCGCTGCATTTGTGTCAGGAACTGAACCGCAAAAATAAGTTATAATTATGCCAAACTTATTCACATTTGCCTTTACGAAACAGCACAACTAAACAGTGGTGTTATTGATATTATTTCTTACCTGAGCACTTGCACCAGGACGTGGGTGACCAGTCAAGCTCACAGGAAAACAAGCGATTGCGAAACCACCAAACCGAAAACGAAACAGTCGTGGCAGGCTTTCCTCACTTTCCTGTCGAAGACGTCGATGGCGTAGAAGTAGTCTAAACTCGCTTTAACGAAAGCATTCACCCGGTAAAAATGACTTGTAGCCGGTGCGTAGTGGCTGGTGGTAGCCACGTCCGACATTTTGTTTTCTCGTGTGGTCTCATCTTGGGTCTCAGCTGAGACCCAGCGTAAGACGCCGGTTGAGCCGCTTGCTCGAAACGAAATCGGAACCGTCTCAGTCAAGTCAGAACTTGAGTTCGGTACCTACAACGGAGTGAGCAGTACCTCGAGAGGGAATCTGGGGAAAACAGGGGAAAGCGAAGAATACAGACGTGGATGGCGACACGGGGTCGTCTGCTTCAGCTACGCCGCGATCGTTTTGGGCAGCGACGAACGACGACCGTCGTTTAAGCGATGTAAGCCATTTGGCGAGTGACGAGACAAACGACGGCAACCCCTTTTGCTGTTGCTCGGTCACTCTCGCGACAAGGCAAACCGCATCAAAGCGGCGGGGGCAAGCGACGAAGGTGATGAGCGACGTGGCCTCTCTAGAAATCCAAAAATCGAGCGACGCATCGCTTACATGCGGTTCAGCCTTAACTGCGTCATGTATTTCGTGCAAACCTCGCTTACATGTGAAAAGCGACAGCGAGCCGCGGTTCTGAACGTGTCGTCTGTCACCACCATCCAGCGCATACGCCGAATAAAGGTGTCTACAAAATGTTTGCTCGAGCTAAGGTGCCCCATTTTTTTAAGAAAAAGGAATAGCTCTGTACGTCGCCGGTCCATCACGAATCCCTTCCAAGGTAAAGAAGAAAGTAATTTGGTACGTAGATGAAAAGTTTCAATGGGTGAAGGAAATGAAGAAACGAAAACGCGTAATTCGAGAGATATTTTACAAGATTACATAAGTTGCTAAGAAAGAATGTCAGGAGATCGCATCCGTGCTAAACTCGCGGCATCCATTGACGCTTTGCATAATGCTTCCTTTGAAACGTTTTTATTTAACGACGAAAGAAGTGGGCACTACATGCCCAAAACATGCATTTTGCAGCTGCAGAGTTGACAGTTTCTACGAAGGCACACTCCACGACCAGCGAGTTATACGTGTTACTGCACATAAAAATGAAACATTCTTTGTGCTGAAGGAATTTTGTTTGCTTCTTATTTTCCCGGCTAAATTATATAAGTAATGAAGAGTTCTGGATTTTACCACAATCAAGCAAAATTCTGTGCTGAGGGAAATTTTATTCACTTCTCATTCCCCAAAATAAATTATAGAAGCAGTCAAGAGTTGTGTATTTCAACCATTTAATACAATCAAGTTAAAACAACGAATGCGCTTGCCGCAATCAGCCGAGATTCAATGCATCAACAAAATATAAAAAGAGCCTTGTCTTCCACAGGCACAGGGCGCAACAACCACCAACTCGCACCACTGGCTGAAGCTGCGCTGGCAGTCGTCAGTACAAGCCCAAACCTTTGCTGGCATAGAAGGGGGCATCGACACCAATTAGCGAGCTGTCATGTTACTGCTGTTTCTACGGTTACACTTGAATTCATGATGTGCCATTTGATGCAGTCAAGTCTAGAGCCTTCAGGTTTACACAAATAGCGGTTCTACTAGCAAAGCTAACATTGTATTTATAATCATATCTTGGGTATGCAGTACTAAATACTAAGCCCAATGGAGGAAACATTCCGGCATGTTCCATCCAGAGCAAGAAGAATCCATGCACATCCAAGAACACTAAAACTTAGAGCCATGTTACTCGAGTTAAAATTCAAGGTCGGCATTCCAGTGAAAGGCCACTGCACTTATGGATAGCAGACTTAGTCTGCTACACTGTTGAAATGCTAGAGGGTACATTTTCCAAGAGTTATGCAATGCTAACGATACAAAGGTGATTGTGTTTCCACCACACCATCATTACAAAATACACAGGCTAGAAGTTTTGCGAAGTGAAGCCGAAACATGACAAGCAGCAACACAAATTTCTTTTGTATCGAAAACTACATCTGGGTAGATACGAAAGTCACAAACACAACACTTCGAACTACTTTTCTTTGGGTTCATTGTATTGAGATGCCAAGTTAAATCAATGTAAAGACAAAGCTGAGAGTCTGCCACGAATATGTATAAGATTGGCCTATCTCACTCATTTAACAGTTAATGTTTACTGGTGTGGAAAATCGAGAAGGATGAAGTGAAAATGACAGCGATACTTGGAAGACGACGAGGAGGCAGGAGGTTTTTTTGTTGTATACCTTGAACTATAACAACGGCCGATTAAACGGTACAACATTTACTGCTCGGACTATTTAATTCTTAACTGAGAAGGATCCTCGACATTTTGGAGCCGAAACCCGGGAAACTGCTTCACGACATCACCACCGAGCCGAGACGAAGCTGCAAATGTACCAGGTACTGGTGACTTTCGTTGCTAACCCTAACAGTGGAACTCTGAGACTTTAACGACGGAGGCAAATCATCGGGATTGTAACGCGAAGATCTTTCAAGAGGGATTCCTGCCAACCAAGCGAAAGCCAATCGACTCTAACGAATCGCAATGGACAGACTGAAGGCGAAGCGTACCACTTGACGAGCCCAAAATACCAGGATGATAAACGACGCTACCACACTGCTGAACAGCCCTGATATAGACCTGAGCAGGCTCATCGGATGCAAAGAACGCCTGACTACGAGCAACGCGGAGCTTGATAGAATTAACGAGGAGTTAGAGCCGCTGCTATCAGCAGAGTTGGAGGACGAGTACGCTGCTGCTGCCGAATGTCAAGGCCATGCCGTCATGTTTATTGCGCAGCTTGGCTTCAAGATTGCGGAATTGGAGAACAGTAGACGCCCCATGGTTCAGGCGACAGCAACGACTACGCCCAATGCGCATGACACAGTCTTCAGGATGAGTGGATCCAGACTACCAAAACTGGACATCACTACTTTCAGAGGGGACGTCACCCAGTGGCAGACGTTTTGGGAACAGTATGAAGGAACAATTCACTCAAATCGCACGTTGTCAACGATGGATAAATTTCATTATTTGCGCCGCTACTTGACTGGAGACGCAGCAGCTGCAATAGCAGGGCTACCCACAACGGAAGCGTGCTATGCTGATGCCATTCAACTACTAAAGCAACGTTTTGGTGATCAAAAGAGGATAGAGCAAGTACACCTGGCGGCCCTTCGAAATCTTCCCCGTGTTCGATCTTCTACAGACACCATGGGTCTGAGGAACTTGTACGACACTATGCAGCTGAACATTCGAGCTCTCAACTCACTAAACGTGCCGACCGGAAGTTTCGCGGCCATGCTTTGCGATATCCTCATCACATCGATGCCTCATGACATTGTGGTGCAATACTACAGACAAGTTTCATACAAGGCTCCAAACAATGCAGCAGCAGAGGAGGCAGGAGGTTTTTTTGTTGTATACCTTGAACTATAAGAACGGCCGATTAAACGGTACGACATTTACTGCTCGGACTATTTAATTCTTAACTGAGAAAGATCCTTGACAACTGGTGGCCATAGCTGAGCTCGTTGATGCTGAGCAAATGCCGACGGCAAGCTTCCACAACAATTGCAACACGCACATTGCCCACACGAAGAATGTCTTTTTTGGTATATCAATAAGAAGTCATCCTGAGCCGTAAGCTTGAATATGGTGTCCAATGAGCACTGACAAGCATACCCCCTAAATTTGCATAACCACAAGCACATCTGATACTTAGCATAGTAGTCTTTTCACCATTGGAAAGAAACACAGGGACAAGCAACCAGAAAATTGGGTGGCTTGGACCTGTTATGACTTGTTTTGTATGGTTCCTAACGCCATCTATGCTGTCGCATACATTCCCAATAAAAGGCCAGCCCCATTAGAGCTAGCCACGCGGCCATGCAGCAATGCCACGCTCTTACCTTCGCAACCAACGTGTCTTTGTGACATTCCTACTAGAACACACCATATCAGCATCAACACTGCACACTGGCTCCACTTGAAGCCAGCTGCATTCACAACTGATAGCCACGACAGCTAATATTGGGCTTGACCTGCACAACGTATTTTGGCTCTGCTCGAGCCTAGCTACTTTTACAATAGCCACAACGGCCAAGACCTGAGGGATCAAGCTTGATCCACAAGCACACAAAAAGATTTCCTGAAACAAAAATAAATAAATAAATAAGAGTGCTTGCAAAATATGTACAGGGGTGACATGACACACAACCTTGCGGATTGTCCTCAGGGTCAACACAGCCCCAGCCAATGTGCGGCTAGCAACTGATGAGGCTGGGCCAGAAGTTGGGCTTTCAGCCACAAGGTCGATGTGGACTCCGGGGTCATTTTCCTCGAGGTGCCGGAGTTTGAGGGAACGAGACTACCAGCCTTCGGACTGGTTGCTGGAAGAGGACAAGACGTCCCTGGAGTCTGGTGCAGCAGCTGCTCTGCCACGCCGGGAAGGGCCTCTGCTACGCCGGGAAGGGCTTCTGCCACGCCGGGAAAGGCCTCTGCCACGCCGGGAAAGGCCTCTGCCAATGGCGGAGGGACCACCTGAGCCTGAGGCAGCAGCTGCTGCTGCTGAAGGGCGACCAGTACCACCGGGCCGACGACGACCGGGACCCCCTCGTCCACGACCAGCCTGAAGCCCCAGCACACCGCCCGCAGGTTCGGCAGCCGGCACACGGGCTGCAGACAGGCAGTATTATAAAGACCTGCTCGTGCAAGCCAGAAAACATGCCACTCAAGCAGCAATGCGTCCTTGTTTGGCTAAATACAGCCCTTGAAGAGCTCAGAACGGCACAGGCAGAGCGCAAAGCATCAAAAGAGACGCAGAATGCGACCCTATATGTTTAGAGAATGGTGCAAGACTGTTTTTGCCCTGCTTGGACTAGCTGCTTAAGAAGAAGGCCCTAAAGGAGGGGATTGTAGATATAATAAGCATATGTTTTCTGGTTAGTGCTCGTCGATGTCTCCACCTTTAGTATCTAGCATGCACAAATCTTCCACTGCATTATCTCGTTTGGCAGCATGCAGAACTAAAGAAATGATGGCTTCATAAAAGGTATGCAGCAACTTTTACACACTCAGCCAAGTAAAAGCGAACATCATTACTGTATAAACACGTGCAAGGGCCCCACTTCAAGAAAAATGTTTGCCTTCCACACCACCGCATTTGTACAGGCTTGTGCAATGTCACCGCATGCAGTAAGCGTCAATGCTTTTCTTCTCTTTGGACTCGTTACAATCCTTTCCCTTCTTGCTGCCTTTTGTCAAAGTTCCTTGAGGTAATTTGAGCCAAAATCCCAGCACATTTGTCTTCTTTTTGCATTTCAAGAAGACGACAAATGCATCCACCATTTGCTGATGTCAAAGCTGAGTGGGAGTGAGAATGAAAGAAAGTACAAAATGCAGCTGCAAAATGGCAGTGCAACGTCGTAAACGCTCATACACGCAGTTGCGTTTTAGTGTGTTTGACTGCATTACATCGAAAAGTAGCCATGAGTCGGCGGATTGTCTGTAGTTCACATAAAACGAAGCACCTAATTTGCTTATCACGCGGCATACAAAGTATATATTTACTTGTTACCTGCAGTCGCAACGCAGTCTAACGCAACAGACTGATCTGACTGAGAATTCGGCACATGCGTGGTGCCACCATAACTTTAGTTCAGAGGAGGCAGACGGCGGTGCCAGGACAATGCACGAGAGGACTCGTACCATCTCGTGCTTACACAAGCAGAAAGACTGAAGTTCTCTTGATGCATTGCAGCAGTGGTGGTGCAGTCAAACTGGCTGGTGAGATCGGTCTATTGCCTGTATGGGCCTTTACGCAAGACTGCCACTCAGGAATGTGTTTCCACAGAACAAGAGATACTGCAAGAAAGGCACGTTTCAAAACCAAGATTGCGATTCAGTGTAACGAATCCCTTCGATTTTTATTTTTTTGTTTTGTTTTGTTGTTGCTACATTTCTTTAGCGGGAGTGGTCTGTCAAAGCAGGCCGTGAATCCCAAAAAGAAGCGACCGGGGACTGGCTCGCTTACAAGGAGGTTATAAGGGGCAGGAGGTGGCGCCCGTATTCTCCATACATGGAGCGAAGTGTAACGGAAGTAGGTGTGACCATGAACTCTTCTCACCCAATGGGGCGCTCGTCAAATTGATTTTTGGGGCAAACAAGCCTCGTCGCCATGGCATTTCCGTGGCAACGCTGTTGTTTGCCCCAATATTTCAAGACAGCGATGGCAGCGTCCACTGAATCGGTGTCGAACAGGCGAGATTTGGTGCCCAACAGTTGCCTGACCAGTAGGAAGTGGGTGTGTAGCGCACGCTCTCGACACCGCGAGACCGTGCCTGGAGCGTCGTCTAGAACGAGCCGTCGTAGCGCGGCTTTGGCAAGAGATCGCGTGTCAGTCGTCGTACACAAAAACGTTGAGAATTCCATCGCGGGTTGAGAAAGCCAAACAAACCCTGCTTCCTGAAGATGTTGGTTTCACTCCGCCGTGATGAGAATGCGCGTTCGCAACGAAACATCTTTTGGTGCGCCGATCGAATCGAAAGCCAGCCGCGACAGCGAGCAGACGAAGCAGACCGCAGGCATGGAGCAGACATAGCCCAAGCCTAACGACCGAGCGGAGAGCAGACGATGGGAGCCTGGTTGAATTTAGTTTGGATGAGAGCGCGTCGGTGCGCGAGGCAGTCTGGGCTTGGGTTCTTTTTCCGGCGTCACTGGGTACGACGTCATGCCAGGTCCTGCCCTATTTAAACGTCCTTGCTCTCTTATCTCAACTCCGCCTTGTGTACTGTGTACTGTACGCATCCTACCGAGAACCGATTGCTTTTTGTGTGTGTGTTCTGTTGTGCCACGCCGAATGTATCTAAGAGAAACTTCCTGCGGTCTGGCTTGTTTATGTTAAGGCCGCCTTGTGTATGTGTACCACCCAGAATCAAAGGTTTGTTTTGTTTGTGTTTGACTTGTGTTCGGTTCAACCATGTGGGGAAGCCAAAGGGAAACGGTAGGGGCACAGCTCGTTAGCGGAAAGGCAACTTTTTGTATGCGCTGAACGGAGAATGTTGGCTGACCGCGTACACCACCGCCCAATGACGCTGTTCCAGCTGGATGAAGTGTGAAAGTAGCGTTGTGTTTGTTGTTTTTCTGAAAACCACAAAATTGAGTTTTGATTGGAGCGAAGAAGCTTGTTTCTGATTCGTCAAAGCAAGTGTCTCCAGAATGCTGCTAGCTCTTGTATATAGAAGTGGACTGGCAGGAAAAAAGGCCAGAATCCAGAGAGCAGTCGGAGACTCTGCTCTCCTGTCCTGCGGTCGTGAAGACGGCAATGAGTTGAGCCTGCCGCTGGAAAGTCATTGTTCCCCATCGAGTTTTGTTGGTCCCTGTGTTGCGGCGTAGGTGGGTGAGGAAGTGCACCAGATGAAATCGTCCGACTGACTGGACCAAAACCATGAAAAAGGCATTCATGCCCCCTAGATCAGCGTCGATGGCAGATAAGACTCATTTTTACTTGTACTGCGCCCGTTCGCTTTGAGGCTGTGGCTATGTATTCAGCTACTGTTGGGTTTTCTGTTTGTCTGCTCACAACCGTGTGCTGCGCATCGCCTAGTTTTTTTGCGTGAGCTGTTTTTGTCATCTTGGTGAAGGCAGTAAATATCTTTTGATTTTCACCCTCTACCCTGTCATCGCTTTCCTGCTCACGTTTACACCATGAGTGGCCCGTTTTGTATGTCGACCAGTTGAATCATCTTTTTTTTTTCTTTTCTTCCTATGTGAGCTGTGGACTGTGTCTTTTTTACGTTATTTCTATTAATCAACAAAGGGGCCCACAGACATTGTGACAAGCTTGCACATGTATGGCAGTCCAGGTCTGTTAAAATGCTTTTGTTCTTTCCCGGTTCGAAATGGAGGTGTATTAGACCATTAATTTTGATTGCAAGTACATTAAGTGTTGGATGCACAAATATATATATTTTTTAAATCCCATGTGGCCAATACCTTGAAAAGATATCTTGTAACAAAAAGTGCTGCTCTTACACGAGTTTATAAGGGATAAACTTGTGTTTGTAGGCTTAAATCTCACCACGAAAGTGTTGGTGCACAATTGCATGTCGGCGCGCAACCCCATCGTCTGCTTCGGGTGGCGATGGAGGCACGGGAACCTCTGGTGGAAGGTCACAGTCACCTTCCCTGCACGTGTAGTGCTGTGCAATGTTGTGCATCACACAGCACGCCACAGCGATGGTGCAGCAGCGTTCTGGCAGCATCCTCAGCTCGGCGTGCAGGCAGTGGAAGCGGCGCTTCAGCTGCCCGATCGTCCTGCGATCGAAAAACTTCATTGGGCCCCTGGCACATTTTATATAACCTAAGGCAGGCTTAACTGCCACCCTTCTCCGGTACCACACTGCAAGAAACACAGTTAAGTGATGCCACTCGTTATCGGCAGGAAGGGGGAGGCACGGAGAGATTGTGTTCTGAACTAGCCTTGAAAGAGAACTGGTTCATTTTGACAGAGAGGGCACTCCATCCAAGAGGACTACAGTAAATAGACAAAGAGGGAGGAGAGGCTCATGTTTGCGAATGGTGCGGTGATGCCGCGAAGGTGAACAGACCTCTCAAAAAACTCTTTATGCTGATTTAATGGAGAAGAAGTGGATAGATGGACCCCTTGATTCGGGCACCAGCTATCCGCATTTATGAAACTGCCAGGCACGCCGAACATAATCTGGACACTCCATCAAATCAAGGTGCATCACCTGAATGTGTTTGCTGCATCGTGTTTTCTACGCAGACAGTGGAAAGAGGGTGCCACATAAATAAAAAATCAAGTTAGGCTTGCAACATGTACAGCAACTCACATCTTCTAACAAGACGTGCATCCCTCGTGGCATCAAGCACGCATTATAGGCTGTGGGTAAAAAGAATGTTCTCCACAAACAAGCACTGGGGCTGAGCTGTCATCAGTGTTTGTATCAGGTACCGCACTCATTTTGCATCTCTTTATTGACAAGACTTCCTATACTTAGGATAAACTTTCTGTGCAATGAAGAGAAATCTAAAGGGGCGGAGCTAACGGCTCTGTGTTATCACACCAAGCAGTTCTGTTAAGTTCTGGATTAACAGACCTGCACTTCCTGCAGTTCACTCCTTCGTATGAGAATTGCGGTTGGGGGCACTGAACTGCAACAGCCGAGATATTTTCCTACATTTCACCCGTTTCTAAACACAAGCGAACGCTTTGACTGAAGCACCCGGACCGACTTGCAAGGTAAATTACACAGGTTTCAATCTGGTAGAATTATATATGTCTTGCGACCGACATGAATATGGGGCATCAATTTAAGAAATGCCATGAAGTTCATCCGTGCTGCAGTTTTGAGGTTATCGATACGCTAACTCTTCTGGTGCTGAAAAATCATAGCGCTTACGCAATATACCGAAATAGGAACATTCCCAAGCAAAGGCGCAAAGTCAAATCCCATTCGGATCGCATTCAATTACTGCTGGCCCTAGGGGGATTCGGTGGTGCACCACAGCTCTGAAAATATATAGCGAAAGCGCATGCTGCAGAACCCAGAGATTCTGGGCTCAAAAGTCGTGGCTCAATTCCCACCCCTGCCAATGCACGTGAGAAAGATGCCATGTTTGTTCTGCAGGGAACAAGAAAACCTGCGGCAAATTTAAAACAAGAAACCCCGAAGGAGCTAAAAAGAAATGCTACAAGTCTGGCCCACCCTGACTAATATTATAGTAACATTGTGGAATGAAAGCTAAAAAGAACAATTTTAACTTGGTGGTGAAAGTAGAGTGAAGCTATATGCACTCCGGAGTGCATTTCGGAAGAAATGGCTATACTCACTCCGCAGAGAGCTCATGCCGATCGGGCCACCCTTTTCTAACGGCGCGGTATCACTGGGGAGCGTGTTAAGCCAGCCCCCCGCCTGCATTCACGCCGCTTCGCGGCGACAGTGTACGGTTGCTAATTACAAAACATAGCCAGTACATGCCACTTCGCGACGTCCAGTCTGCAAACTAAGCCCCGCCGTCCCCGATCGCACCTCCGGAAAGGGAGTCCCATACCATTTAGTTCTGCGAAGTTTCGTCGACAACATTCGGTTTTCTTAGTGATCATCGCAAAAAAGAAATGTCGTAAATATCGCCAAATGCCTCGACAAAACAAAATGTTCAAGAAAAAAGAAAAATAAAAGTAGACCTACTGCGGATCGAACCCGCGTCCACTTGCATACAAAGCAGACACCTTAACCACTATGCTATGCTATCGCTAAGAAAACTCGTTGTGACCATTCGTTTTATACGAGTTTAGCGGAGTGCGTATAGCCATTTCCGTCTGAAGTGCACTCCGGAGTGTGTATAGCTTTACTCGTGAAAGTATACCCAGCAAATTATTTTAGGTGAACTATATTTAGCTGTGCAGTGAAACGGCGTGCTTGGGCTCTGTAGCCCCTATCTGCAATGCCACGATGGTCACTTTGAAAATCTCGTTGTGACAGTTGTGTTTTTATACGAGAACCAAACCGTTTACGTCGTTCGTTTACCATTCTCTGGTCGAGGTGCACGACGTCGTGCGTATAGCCTTAGTCTTCTCTGAGAGCAGCTAGCTCTAAAGCCTACCTTTCGACCACGGACCGAGTCGTTGCGTGCGTCTGGTTGTACGCACACTCGGCCGGCGTGGTCGGCGATCGAAAAGGCGCCATCAACCAAGGCCTGCACGGGTAGCCGCTGTCGCCGATGAGGAGGCCGCCGTACGCGCCCGTTGCGAAGTTCTCCCCGACACTGCTCTGCGACAGCACGTACGAGTCGTGGACGCTTCCGGGCCACTTGGCAACCACGTTGAGAATCCTTGAGCGCGCGTCGACCACCAGCTCCACGTTGATGGAATGGTAGAAGTGTCGGTTCACGAACACTTCCTCGTGCAGCGGTGGCCCTTGGATCCGAACGTGGGTGCCGTCGATGGCTCCTACGACGCCCGGAAAGCCGTCCACGGCGTAGAACTGCCGCTGCAGTTCGGGGACTTCCGCTGCTGTTGGCCACCTGAAGTAGAAAATGTGATTTACACTGTCAGTTGAAAAATAAATTATAACGTTGGTTGAATCTAGCACATGTTCGATTATGACGTAGTCGGAAATTCGCATAAAGCTTGTCACGATCGAGTGTGAATCAGTACGTATTATTCGCTACTGTTTTGAAACGCACCCTCCTTTCCGAAACGTTCTTCAGTATCCACCAGCTACTCCCGCTAACATGTTGTGAAACACGTTGTTTTTTCGTAATGAGAAACACTCCATAATACAAAGATAGTGCCGAGGGTGCCGAGGACCACACCCACCATTACGGACCGTAGCAATAACCAGACATCGCTTTGAGCACGCATATCGAGGGCTAAATAATGGCGCTGCATGTTAGTGAAAAAAAAAAGGTTTTCTTTAACGAAAACAAGTTGAAGAAGTCTTTTCTCTCACGAAACAAGTTGAATAAGTCTCTGTTCCCCGAAATCCAAAATTACGTTGCAGCTGACTGGCCCACCGGCAAAAAGAAACGCTAGTGTTAGGACTTCTTTTTTTCTCACCGTATGAAGTGCGGCGCTTGCTTTGCCAGAGCCAGGGCCACTCGTCGCACGCACCGTGACGCTGTAGATTCATGCAGATGCAGAAAGTCCCCCGCCGTGATCAAGAAGGTGCCGGTAGCGAAGAATTTCAGCGCTAGGAGCACTTGAATCAGGACGGGGGTTGCATGGCTGCGTCTCGTTGGTCGTATGAGGTCGCTGGCCAAGACGTCGGCGATGTACATGATCCCATCGCGGCCAAACCGAAAACGACGCTGGAGGCCCTCTTCGTCGAAAACGTCGAAGGGGTGAAAGCGGTCGCGGAATACGCGGTCCCGCGACAGCATCCACGCGGCAAAGATGGCTTGGACCCGACTTGTCGTAGCCACGTCCGACATTTTGTTCACTCTGAGACCGCCAGTGAGCCTTCTCCGTGGCTGTCTCACGATCTGAGACTAGAGTTGAGTCAGAGACTCGGTTTTGGTCTCAAGTCCAGACTAAGTTTCGTTTCGAGCAAGTGGCTAACCTCTGAGACTGTCTCAGTTTGGGTCTCCGTTTGGGTCTCAGTTTGGGTCTTAAATCGGCCGCCAGCTAATTTGCTACGGGGCTGTCCCCCGGCTTGAGACACAACTTGAGTCAGAGACTCGGTTTCAGTCTCAAGTCCAGACTAAGTTTCGTTTCGAGCAAGTGGCTCACGTTCGGTCTCGGCTGAGACTGTCTCAAGTTGTGTCTCAACTCTTTCGAGCAAGCGGCCCCTGGTGTTGTAGCGTACCTGGATGATATCATCATCTCGGGAAAAACGAAACAAGAGCACAACGAGCGTGTGGAGGCTGTGTTGCGACGGTTGCAAGACGCCAGACCGAGGGTCAACAAGGACAAGTGCCAGTTTGGCAAGACAAGCGTAGAGTACCTTGGACACAAAATCGATGCTTCGGGGATTCACCCAAGTGCCAGCAAGGTTGCAGCAATCCACATCGCTCCAGCTCCAACTAACAAAAAATAACTGCAGGCCCCAAGCAGCACGTTGGGAATGGGCCATCGCTGGCAAGTGTACTATGGGAAACCAGGTTTTCGATGGCCCAAGCTTGGCCAAAGTGCTCGGCAATAGCAGTGTTTGCGTCCTCGTCTGGTGACTTGCCATTCAAGTTTATGACAGTCGCTGGCCATTCACTTTAGGCCAGTGGCTGGCCAATCACGTTTGGCCAGTGACTGGCCATTCACCTTTGGCCAGTCACTTGCCATTCCGTTTTGGCCAGTCACTAGCCATTCACCTCTGGCCAGTCACTTTTGACCAGCCACTGGCCATTCGATTTTGGCTAGGCACTGGCCAGTCACTTTTGGCTAGCCAGTGGCCATTCCCGTTTGGCCAGCTACTGGCCATTCCCATTTGGCCAGCTACTGGCCATTGACTTTCGGCCAGTCTTTGGCAGAAAGTGGCTGTAGTTATACACTTCATATATAATTTATTACAGACTAACAGAAAATTTTGGTGTTCCTCAGACGATTGTCAACAATTTCCGGCGCTCAAGTTTGAGAACTCAACCCCAAAAACTTTTACATATTAATGACAAGCGAAGCTGCTGCAAGGTTGCTCAACATTTAATGGGCGTTTTGAGTGCTACGTCTTACAACACTGGTTGCGACCACCATTTCAGTCCTCCGTGGTCCCACCGTTAAGATCCCTCGGCAATGCAGCAGTAAAAAAAGAAAAAAGGTGAAGGGGCAGTGAAACGATATTCAGTTATAATATTTTTCACTTTACACAAGCTTACTGGCACTAATGGGAAGTCGAAGCCTTCAGTACACAGTAAAAGTTTTTACGCACTTAAGGGTGTAAATCATTTTGTACCAGGGCTAACACCCCTCATAATGTTCAGGCAAGCACCCTTCATAATGGGTGCTTAATAACACCCTTGGGAAAGGGTGCTTGGTATGGATGGGCGCCCGCTGGGGTGGCCCAGTGGATGCTGGGCCACCCCAGCCAATCCGGCGCCGGGAGAGTATCACGCGAAGTTTGGTTATGTGGAGTTCAAGGTCATATGACGCACTTTCGACGCTGGATTAATTGGCAGTGTCCGCCACGCTCGGACGAAGGGTGAAATGAGGTATAGGCCCCAGCGAAAGAAAATATTATAGGAATCTGTCCAATACACATATCAGAATCTGCAAATTGTACAAAGATCATATATGGTATTGCATATTCTTATATTATTATTATGATATGATTTACAGCTATGTTTACTGAACACATGTTTACTGAACACATTTACACTTTTTTCACTTAGGGCGATAGCCACACCACCACATACGAGGCACGTGATAAAAAAGTAGTGAGTCACAGTGAACGCAACTTATGAAGTAATACAAAACAGTTCCTTGTAAGCCAGATCATAACCCCGGGGGCAATTGGGAAGTGCTACGGCGGCCCCCTTTTTCAAACTCTAAGCGAGCGATCAGTGGCCCCAAGCATCGTACTGCGCGGCTGAACCATTCTAAGCATCATGGGTTGCCACAAACGAGGCAAGGGGAGCTTTCCTGTTGGGAGATCAAGTGACACGTTTTGTTTGTTTCAGAGGATTGCAGGCAACACGCTTCACTTATCACTTGTCTCTTTATGCGCATCTCATTACTAATTGGAAACAGAGTAGAGGGGGGTGGTCTAGCCCTTGACTGAACCACAGCAGTAATTCAGTAAGGGAAGCTCATTACGACATCAATTAGAATGTGTTGAATTGAACATTTATTGAACCCTAAGAGACAAATGAAAAATACAATGTATGCCATTCCATGACATAAAGAATGCTATCTGCAAACATGTTATGAAAAATATCACATAATGAACTTGCATTCTACGGCAAAAAAGCAAAAATTTCGGTAGAAGACGCTATCCTCTTGCTCATGTACAAAGAAAATTATAAAGTTCTGGAAGACGACTATGGATGAGGAACTCGTACAGCTAAATTCTAAGCATGCCTCGCCTTCAAGAGGTCAGCATAAGTTATCACAGAAAGTGCTCAGCAATTAAAGGAAAAAAATAAAACATGAATCCATAAAACATTCTATCATTCGTTCTGAAAGCAAACTAAAAATGGACCTGATAATACTGGCGAGAAAAGTGCATTATAAAATTTTAAAACGGCTCGAAAATATCTCTCCGGCTCTTCGACCCCATAGCTGTCTGCAAACTTTGTTCAAAATTTTGATTACGACTGTCCTTGGAGTTGTGTCGCTCAAGCCAAGGAAAAGCCACCCCAGAGCAACCAACGTGTTGGAGGCCTTGCATTCGTACTGGATGCTGAGCAGCCAATATGCTGCCAACAACATGCACAACCCCTCTTCTGCATTAAAAACGGGGAACAAGCGCTCACGATCCACAACAAGGTGAATAAAGACTGCATCGTCCAGCTCCTGCTTCGTGTAGAGGACACATGGTGTCGATGGAATGTTCTCGCCCTGCGTTAGGTAAAAGGATGAAGCACAATATATTTTAATGGAGAAAGCCAAAACATGTTTGCTCTCGTCAACTGCTATTATTCGCTGCCATTAAGGCCATGAGCATCAGCCTCCACACAGATATACAGCGCTTGTGTTTAAACAAGTAACCGGCGTATGCAGCAATGTAAAACGAATGAGGAATTACAATCGGGGCAACATCACGACATGAAAGTATTGCTATATAATCTTAGCGACATTTGTAGTATCTCTATTTCTGTATCAAGATGTATTTGCAAAATCTATTTGTGTTTCATTAGCGAAATACTTTTGCGATGTATTATGATACGCTGCTAGGCTTATGTATCTTGTTACATTTATTGTTGGAAATAAACTGACGGGTTTAAAGCTAAAAACAAAATAGAAGCCACGCCAAAAAGCCGACGCATCACTGGTTCGTTTTCGCAATGAGAGTGTTCTTTTGCTTTGCTCTCACATTCCACTTTTACAGCGGCCGGTTTTCTTTCTGCAGACTGCAACCTTCCTGTGTAAATTTGAGGTTACTGTTTGGGTAAGAGGATGCACAGCTGAGAAACAATATGCCCAAAAGAGTCAGAAGACAAAAAGCAAGGACGTTTGGGTAGACACACTTTGCCAGGCGGTGTCATCGGTCGCAAGCGTTCTTTGGGTGTGATAATGGGTTCTGGACGGTATCAGCGACCATACCCAAGGGAAGGCAAGTTTAAAAAAAAAGGGGACAAACACAGACAGAAGGTGGGAAGCTCAGGTGCTACAATCTATGTTTGCCACGGACACACCCTTCTCACCACGCCACTCTGCATTATGAACCGTATAGGGCCGCCGACTGACCATAACGGTACATGCTAATATTAGTCCCCTGGCCAATGTTAATTTTTTGCCTCCTCTTCTACACTGAAAAACCCAAAGATGAAGGTTACAGAAAACAGAAAACATAATGTCTTTCATGTAGCTGTAGAAATTAACTTTCACGAGCTATATTTTATGTCTAGCCGCTGGCCACATCAGCTCCCCCGTCGAGCACCAACCGGAACAGCGGAAATTTAGCACGCAGCACGTCGAGCCTGGCGAGGTTGACGGTTGTGGTCATCAACGGTGGAGGGTAGGGGGGGGGGGGGGGGGGGTGTCACTTAAAAAGGTGCTTGTGATAATATATTTCTACAGCTATCTATGAGACATTGTTGAGTTTGAACCTCGCTGCACCCCTAGAATTCGTGACAGACAAAAAGTGTTCTGACAAAATATAAAACGAGCTGTCTAGGTCAAGAGAAGAGCAATCTCGGAGGCCATAAAGGTAACCTGCGGCTGCTGGATGACTTGCTGTAAACGGACCCAGAATTCGCGAGCATAGAGAGAGGTGCAGAAGCTATGTGATATTCAACTGAAAAGTTAATATGCTCAAATAATTATTCAGTTTAAGCCCAAAATCTATGATTCGCACATGCCTATTATTTTAAGTATGAAGCCAAAGGCGAACCAAGTAGTAGTCTGTTGATTTATTGCCGAATGGAATACAGTTTCACTATCAAACTGGATGATTTGCTTATGTTTTAAAGGTTGCGACAAAAATTCAATACTTAATTGAGTGAAAAGCAAACCATTGTAACAATTATGTGCCTGATTATATTCTACAAGTCGTTTTACATGCATACACAGTACTCTATTTGAAAGCTAATAGAATTTTTAAAAAAGGCCGTGAGAATTACGTTGATGTTTTTTTCACTGCGTGTTTGTGGGACTCGGCGGACATTAGTAAAGGGAATAATCGTCACAG